ACATACATACATACATACATACATACATACATACATACATACATACATACATACAGACAGACAGACAGACAGACAGACAGACAGACAGACAGACGTGAGAGTAAGTACACACCAGATAAATATGCTAAATATATTATGTTTAATTAACACTTAGTGTACAGAAGGTTGTTTAAATCTCCTTCGTACACAAGCAATTTTGTCGTCTGGTTTCCGTGTAACTCCACACGTACTTAACCTATTTGTATAAAATAAACAAGAAACAGGGTTCGAAATACAATCAAAGTAGTAGGTATACTGTCGGATAATAGATAAAATGAATTTGCTGAGGTTTGAAAGATTTATTTCAAAATGACTGTAAACAATCGAGCGATGCCATGATTCAGCTAAACTGGCGCAGTGAGTGCTAAGGGTTATGTTAAACACTTACCTCTCTGACGCCATCGTACAAGAGTGTGGGCGGAGTCTGTCCATACTGACCAATCAAAACACAGTAGGGGAGGGCGTCCAATCGCGGGACAGAGCCCATAGAAGTATACACAGACACGGCGTAATGCCATTGGTCTGTTTGCTTGTTCCCTACAAGGGGCAGATAGGACCACTGAGGAGGGGATATGAAGGGTGGGATGGATGAGCGTGTGAGTGTGTGGTTGTTGTTGTTGAGTGTGTGAGATGTGAGTGATTGAGTGTGACAGTTAATGTACGAGTAGGGCTGTGAGTGAGTGAGTGAGTGAGTGAATGAGTGAGTGAGTGAGAGAGTGAGTGAGTGAGTGAGTGAGAGAGTGAGTGATTGAGTGAGTGAGTGAGTGAGAGAGTGAGTGAATGAATGAATGGTTGAGTGGATGAATGAGTAATTGAGTAGAGGAGAGAGTGTGTGAGTGAATGAGTCATTGGGTAACTGAATGAATGATTGAGTGGATGAGTGAGTGATTGAGTAGAGGAGTGAGAGAGTCAGTGAGTGTGTGAGTGGGTAAACATTTTTGTCCCCTTTGAGTCATTGAGTCTGCGAGTCCGTGAATAAATGAGTGGGAAATGAATGATTAAGTGAGTAAGTAAGTGAGGGAGGGAGTGACGGTTTCCTCTTATTTGACATAATCTAGATGATATAGGAGAAGGGGTGATTCAACCGTACACGCAAAGGCCTACCCGAGCTGAATGAGATACAGAATCGATTCAGGCAGATGGAGACTCTCGATAAAATAATCTTTCCCTCTCAGGAATAAACGAGTGATCGAGCAGGTGAGTAAATGAAAGAGTGGGTGTGTGAGTAAATAAGAGAAAGGTTAAGTACAAGAAAGAGAGAGGGAATGAGATTTGTGAATACTAGAGTGAGTGATTGAATAAATAAGTGAATGAATGGGTGG